TATGGACAGTTATAAGGGAGCAACAGTCACCATTTTTTTTTCGGCTGTTGACCTACCTACATGGTGGATGATGAGCCTCGGGTGACGTCATGAGCCAAACAAGTTTCCCAAACTACGGCTTGTTTTGACTCGTTAGCAAAACGAAACTGCCAACACGTTGTTAAACAGCGAACATGTAGTTAAGTCAACAGTTCGATGTTGATGTCCCGAAAGTGAAAGCTTCCACAATAGCCGAAATACAAGTGGAGGATCTCTTGTCTCTGGTCGGAGACAAGAGACCCTCCACCAGTATCTCGGCAATGGTGGAAGCTTTTACTTTCGGGACTTCAACATTCAACTGTCGACCCAACGTCTTGGTTGTTGGTTAACAACGTGTTGGCAGTTTCTTTTTGCTAACAAACCGAAATGGCCGAAGTTTGAGGAACTTGTTTGGCTCATGACGTCACCCGAAGCTCATAATCCATCGTGTAGGTGGGTCAACAGCCGATAAAAGAGCGATGACTGTTGCTCCCTTATAATTGTCCCTAAAGGGGCAGGTATACCTGCGAGCTACACGCGCGTCTTGAGCGGCGAGTAGGCTTTCAGCCGTGTTCGGCAATCTTCGTAGCCAATCAGATCGCGGCTCGCCACTCGTAACTCGCTGGAAGTAGGATCGGATCCTACTTTTCGGGTTAAGACGCGCGTGTAGCGCGCAGGTGTATCTGACTCTTAAGGAAGTATTGAAACCCTGACTGAAAAAGCTCCCACCTGTCGCCAAGAGGCCAGTGGAGGGTCTCTTGTCTCTGGACTCAACTCATAGTCCTTGTAGCACAGGGATAGAATACAGCTCTTGGGATGAGACGCCAGGTAGGCAACCCGGATTGCATGTCTGGGGCCCGGGTGGACGAGCGCGAGTCAGGCGCAAGAACTGCGAGGTATGACAGGGTTTCCGACGGTCTGGAAAACTTGGAAAGTCAGGGAATTTGCGGCGACCTGGGAAACTCAGGAACATTGACTGAAAAATTTGAGGAAAAACATTCACAATTTTCCCAATAAATTTGATTTCAATCGAAGGGAATTTGGCAACGTCTGAAGGCTCACACGGCTTTTTCCCTTAGGACGGCAGTACTGCCTCGCTAAGGAAGAACGCCGTATGAACATTCGAGAGTTGCCAAATTTCTCTCAATAAAATGTTTATTATTGAGGGAGGTTATGAAAATTTTTCCTTGAAATTTTCAGGAATTTTAGATCAAAATACCAACAAAATGCTGTGAAAAATTGGAAGAAAAATATTCATAAGTTTACCGGGGAATTTGTGTTTTATCAAAGGAAATTTGGCAACGCCTGAGGGTTCATACGGCGTTTTTCCTTAGCACGGCAGTACTGTCGTCTTGCGGAGTCCCGGTCGCGAGTCCTCTCGCGCTCCTGCTGCGCCGTAGCTCGCTCTTCTTCCTCTTTTTGTGGAGGAATATATTTTGTCCCTCTCTCTCTCTCTTTCTCCCTCTCTTTCTCCTCCCCCCTCCTTCCTCTCTCTGCGGCCAGGATGAAGGATTATAATTTGTATTCGAAATCTGCGGTGAATCTCTGGGCGCGATGCGGTGCGCGGCCAGCGCGGCGTCATCCCTGCATGCCGATGAGCTTATCAACGGGGACTGGTTTCTCGCTCCAGTTGCCCAGTCGCACAGTGGATCGATTCCATCGGAGAGGTCGGACATGATATTTTTACTACATCTGCATGTTTTGATGTTTATTTCGTCCCACTCTAAGTTTTGAGGGGCGGTTTTAGAAGAAAATTTCACAAGGAAACCAATGGAGCCACCTTTAAAACCTCAAAGTTTTGTGTAAACGGAGACGTAAGCTTTTAACGTTTCCAAAGTTTGTCCGACCTCCTCCACACTGGAAAAAAAATTCTCGGCGTTTTTACCAAGGTCCGTTGGTACCTTTACCATCTCACTTTTTTTTAACGATTATCGGTAATTTTACCACGGCAGACTGGTAAGCTTACCTAAAAACCGGTATTTTTACCGGTTTTTTTTTTTTCAGGTAAGAATACCACTTTTATTGGTAATCGATTCCCGGTAACTTTGCCATTTTATCTCGGTAATTCTACCACAGTCGATAAAAAATATCGGCGTTTTTACCAAGGACCAGTAAAATTACCGAGAAAGTTCAATAATTTTACCGAGATTTCTCGGTAAAATTACCAATTCCATAATTGGCAATTTTACCAAGAAAAAACTGGTATCAAATAGAACCCTAAATTCTTGGCAATTCTACCCTTTTCTTAGTAAATACACCGAGATTTTTTTTTCAGTGCATCGTCTCAATCCACTGTGCGTTGCTTCTCTCGTCCTCGTCGCAACCCCGAAATCCGAGCTTCTTCTTACCTCTTCTCTCTGACCCGGACTCTGTTACGGACGTGGATCGTGCCTGGGGTTGCAACGTGGGGGAGGAAGCGAGCATCCTCCCTCAAAAGTCCTCCTTTAATGTCAACCCTTCCTCGATCCTGCCCCTTGGTATTCTACTTGCTGTGCTGTAGTCGTTATTTATCTTCTTTCTCTTTGTCTTCGTCTTCTCCCTCCGGACTTTTTCTCTTTCTCTTGTTCTCTTCATCTTCTTCTTGCGGTGACAATTTCTTCAAAAGTCCTTGCAACCCTAGAAAAGTCAAAAGATTTTGCCCACCTCTGATTAGCCGTGGAGCTTTGCCTCGAAACGTATAATCATTTTCTACCACGTCCATGCGTTTTATCGATCAAAGTTAGAACTCTTACCCGTCGATCTTCGATCTTTACACTGAATTGTAATGGAGGGAAAACAAGCTCTGGTTGATGGATAGTCGCGGGTTGGTTGGCGCCCGACCCTGGATTTTGAAGGACGACCTGCGAACCCAGAAACCACATCATATTTCCAATCGCCGAGTTATTACGAGGCTTGCCCGCTCCTCCACCCCTCCGACTCGGCAGTGCGGCTTGGACTTCGATCCGCGCTCTGCGATGAATCGATCTATCCGCCGTTCAAACCCGTGGAAGAGAATCGATTATCAGGCTGTAGCTGGGTGATCGATTCTTCAACGTGCCCTCAAACGGGAAAATGTCGATACTTGTCGGTTTGGATGGAGTGCGCCCATAATAGGATATGGCGGTGGTTGTAGTTGCGGTTGTGACATCCGAGCCGGACCGACATGGTCTTTGACGGCTGCGCCTGAGTTTACGAGTCCTCGCGTTGGCCCGCATCGAATCGGATCAGATGATCCGATGCAGATCTCCCGATCCAGATAGTCCATTATCCTCCGCTATCGCTCCTCCTTTCTCCTCTCCTCTGTCTCTGCCTCCTCGAGTCGCTTCGTGAGCCCTCCGCCTCGCCTCGACCGAGGCAGAGCGATAGCCGGAGCCAGGGCTGCGAAAAGCTCCACCGAGTCGAATCCAGTCGCTAGAGGCGGATCCAACATTTTGGCAACGCCGGATTTCCTCCGATTAAACCTACATTAGGACGTATTTCTACCAAACAGACCTATGTGCAGGTGAGAAATATGGGGTGTGCTCGCTAGTTCTCTGGCCGTAAGAGTGAATGAGAATAATAAAGCGCCAGTGACGTCAGCGGCAATGATGGAGCCGAGGCACGTGGGAAAGATCGTCGTCGGGGCGCTTTAACTCATGAGCCCTGTTCACAAAGCTCTCGTCTCATCCTCGCGGCTCATGAATCCCGCATTCAGTTGGCACATAGTTCTGTTTGATAGAATGTAATATCCCGCTTTTCCAATTCTTCAAAAGGAATCACGCCCTCTTTTACATTGTTTCTTATGCAGATTTCTGGAACACACCCTATCCTATATTTCTCACCTGTTCACAGTTCTGTTTGATAGAAATACGTCCATTAAATAATCGATTATCGTCGGAGCCAGCAACCCCCCCCCCTCCCCCAAGAATCGATCCATTCCCATTGGTTTAAATGGAGGAAAACGATGTTGCCGGGTCCGCCAATGAGCTCAGCCTGAGGATCTCCTCTCTCTCTCGGAAAATTTCCTGGCCCCGCCAAAAGGTTGCAAGTACATTTCGAGTGAAAAACTCTAAAATTCAGCGGGTTTTCCTAACGGCGCGTCGCGCGGGTGAAAACTTTGGGGTCAAGTTTGGAAAAACGAGCCGGGGGAGGGAGGCTGGGGGGTTTTCTTATATCGAGGTAGGTCCGCTGGTCCGAGGATCCTTCTGCGGTAAAATTTTCAAGTAATTCTGAAGTATGCACTTCGGTACCACAGTTGAAACTTCTTCGGAGGCAACCGAGTACCGAAGTACTTCAGATGCGTGACCTGAACCTCGGCAGTTTGGCCTCGAGTTTCGTTCCTTGTCGAAACTTTCATTGAGTCAACTGAAGTACTTGAGATGCGTGACCTGAACCTCGGCAGCTGGACCTGAAGTTTTCGGACGTCCGATCCGGAAACTTGGGAGATCCATGCGACCTGAGCACCCGAGCTTCGCGCAGACAGCAGAAGGCCGCAAAGGTCGCGAAGGCCCAGGGATGTCTGGGCCTTCTGAAGAACGACCCTAGACATGAGCACTAACCCGTTTTATTTAGAGTACCTGTATAGGGAGAGTACCGACAGATCGGTTCATGGAGGGCTTAGGGCCCAAAAGTACAGCCACCCTTCTAACCAACTTCTAACGCACAAAATTTCACTGCCAGTCTGCAGATTCCAATTCTAACCAAGATTGCCAAGAATGTACAGAAATGAGCGTTCTTCCGCGAAATTGAGTAAATTTATGCAAAAACTGAGTCAAACACGTGCTTAATAAAGGACGGTTCGTAACAATAGTATCAGTAAATCGCTCTAGATAATTGAAATTCATAGGTTGGCTCCCCTTTTGGGGCCTAACTTTATTCGCGGAGGCATCGGTGAAGGCCTGGTGGACTTTCAGAGTTTCAGATCTGTCGGTACTAGCCCCATACAGGTACTCTAGTTTTATTGTGTTTGTATATTGTGTGTATTGGACGTGGATTTGATGGGTGTGTTTCGGTTGATGTTGCAGGTTTCCGGGGGATGAACTGCGAGGAGAACATAGACGACTGCCCGGGGAACCACTGTCAGAACGGCGGGAGCTGCGTGGACGGGGTCCAGGGCTACACGTGCCTGTGCCCGGCGACGTACACGGGGAAGTTCTGCGAGCAGGACGTGGACGAGTGCCTCCTCCGGCCGAGCGTCTGCCACAACGGCGCCACGTGCACCAACATGGTCGGCGGCTACTCCTGCATCTGCGTCAACGGCTGGAACGGGCCCGACTGCTCCATCAACATCGACGACTGCGCCGGAGCCGCCTGCTTCAACGGAGCCACCTGCATCGACCGCGTCGGCAGCTTCTACTGCCAGTGCACCGCCGGCAAAACAGGTAAGTCATCAACCCTCTTATCAAATGGGTAGGCAAGGAAGAGGCAGCAATGCAGGGTGTCTGGCGACCGGGGGAACCGGGAAATGTCAGGGAACTTTTCTGGGTGTCAGGAAAATCAGGGACGTCAGGAAATACGCAGAAATTCGGCATGTCGGGGACTTTTATTTTACAAGCGCTTTTCGTGTCAGGGAAACGTCAGTAAATTCGAAAAACACGAATTTCTCGGAAAATGTTTCGCTAATTTTACTCTGGCGGAGATTTCCACCAGAATTTCTACTGATGTCTCTTAAATTTTATAAATAAGGCAAAAATATCTCGCACAAGTTCAGGCACCGTATGTTTTGCTCTATTTATTACACTAGTGATTCGTGAAACATGAAGCAAATGGAGATGTTGCATGTGTGAGGAATTTGTGATTTGACTGTTGATTCTTGTGTAAAAGTTCGCTAGAAACACGATGGTGCCATTGGTTTTCTCTGAAATCAACTCCCAAGCTCCAAAAAAGCTCTCAAGATGAAGCCAAAATGGAGGGTATATCCCACGCTACCCTGAGAGTCCATCTCTACATCAAGACAAACTCTCCATGCAAAGATAGGGCAAGATGTCCATACGTTGACAGGGCTGCCACTTTCTTTGGGGACTCTGAAACTGAAAATACGGCATCACTGCTAATGTATTTGCTCCCTATCTTCGCATGGAGAGTTTGTCTTGATGTAGACGCGGGACTCTCAGGATAGCGTGGGATATCCCTTCCATTTTGGCCTCAACTTGAGAGCTTTTTTTGAGCTTGGGAGTTGATTTCATAGAAAACCAGTGGCACCATCGTGTTTATCGCAAACTTTTACTTAAGAATCAGTAATCAAATCGCAAATTCCTCACGCATGCAACATCTCCATTCCTATTTACATCTAATCAGTTCAAACGTTTTGAAAAATTTGGAATTTTTTCCTTTTTGTCAGAGAAAAAGGGAATTTTGAATTTTCCCCCGGTTTCGTGGCCGTTTTTGTCGGGGAAATCAGGGAAATAATGTCAGGGGATTCCGTTTTGAAAATAGCGAGACACTCTGCGACTGAACGCGACCTATGCGACACTATGCGTAGCAGGCAGCAGTGAGCCTTGCATTAATACAACAGTGTCGAGGACCGGGATGATGATCGGATGAACAGTTCGCAAACGGGCGTCTGAAACCGTCGCTTCTCTGACGTAAGGCCGTATCTCCAATTCCGCATGAGCTCTGGAAAACATAGAGTCATACGGAGAGCAGGGCTCACATGGAAATCGAGCTACGCCCTTTCATCAGAGGCGCGGCGAAATCAGTGCGGGTTGATGCCCCCGCGGCCGTCGGCCGTCCTGCCGGACGCCGAGCGACGGGAATTCGAGAGATTGGCGACAGTAATTTGAAAATGAGGACAAATTGATTGATCTAAATTGCCCGAGCGTCCTCAACCCATCAGACAGTGCCTTAGTCTGGCGTGGCATGGGTGACGCGCCCCAACGCAGCGCCCCACAGTGGACCCACTCGACGGGAGAGCTCCGACAAATTTCGAAACTTTAAAAGCTCATAACTTCGTATTAGCCAGAGTCTCTTTATATTGAGAGTCAAGACAATGCGAATCCATTTCTGATTGGTTCCCGTATTTTAGGCCTTCACAGTGTCACAAACGGGAATGAAGATTACATTTTCACCGATTGCAAAGATTATAATTTGGAACGGACCAGGGAATTACGAGTTCGGCAAGGAACAAACGGAATGAGAGAGGGAACGGAGAAAGGAATTTGAGAGTGGGCCGATCAAAGATTACGAATAACGTTCAATTTGTGTAATCTTTATTCCCGTTCGTAACTCCATGAGGGGGTGTTGTCTTGACTCTCGGTATAAAGGGACTCCGGTATAAACTAGAGTCCCTTTATACTGAGAGTCAAGACAATTCGGCTCATGGATGTCACAAACGGGAATAAAGATTACAGAAATTGAACGTTTTTCGTAATCTTTGATCGGCCCATTCTCAAATTCCTTTCTCCGTTCCTCCTCTCATTCCGTTTGTTCCTTGCCGAACCCGTAATTCCCTGGTCCATTCCAGATTATAATCTTTGCATTCGGTAAAAATGTAATCTTTATTCCCGTTTGTGACACTGTGGAGGCCTAAAATACGGGAACCAATCAGAAATGGATTCAAATTGTCTTGACTCTCAGTATAAAGGGACTCCGGTATAAACCAATCGTTGAGGTTCTACAAGTGGCTCCATTGATTTTCTTGTAAAATTTTCTACTGGGAGCACCCCTCGAAATTCGAAATCTGACGAAATAAACATCCAAATTTTTTAGTTTTAGTGTAAAATTTTATGTCCGAGCTTTCTGATTGACGCGATCCACTGTGCGGCCGCGCGGAAAGAGGAAGCCCCCCGCCCGGGCTCTTATCACTAATGATTCGACTCGCGCGGAAAAGGCGCGAGTCCGTGAACTCATGAGCCCTGGCTCTCGTTGTCGGCCAGGAAAGCCAGGGCTCATGTGTTTCTCGACTTGCGCCCTTTTCGCACGAGTCGATTCCAATGACCCGGTCGAGCCTGCTTCACTAACGCAACATTGAGCGGATAGTGTCCGCGCTCAACTCGCTGAATTTCTAGCTGCTGAATTTGCTGAATTTGCTGAATTTCTAGAGACAATAAATTCTGCAGACCCTGCACTTTTATCTCCCTTGTAACGTGGAAGTAATACCACAATCACACGCTGAATGTGGAAGTCTTCAGCCACGATTCTCAGCGACCATCGGATAATGTCGGATTTGTCTGAACTATTCGAAGCGATTTGATACACATCTGGATGAAAATAACTCGAATCAGTGAAATTTCAGCAGTTGAGCGCTGACTGTTGACTGCCACATTCAGCTGCCAAATTCAGCGTGTGATCTTGGCATTACGTTGGGAATCATCTTTCAGATTTGCCAAATGACCGAATTGTTGAGCAATGGACTGGTTTAGCAATCCTAAATCACTATTGTCAATACTCGCCTAAGCAGTGCTGCCATTTTATTTTATCAAAAGACTCCGAAATAATTCCGATTTCCGGAAACATATTCCGATTTGCCAAAGTTCCGAGAATAATTCCGAAATGCACCCGGATATAGATTTGAAGATAGTCAAATTTGATCAATTAAATAGTCAATTTGGCGAAAAACTGCACATTTCACAAGATGAACACTTGCCTAAGCAAGTGTTTATCTTGACAACATCATCTGGCGAATTTTATTCAATTTAATGCGCAACAAGTTGCTCATCTACCATCATCGTCATATTGGATCTCTAACCATTGTTTGTGTTTCGTGCTTTTTCCAGGTCTACTGTGTCATTTGGACGATGCTTGCACATCGAACCCGTGTCACGCCGATGCGATCTGTGACACCTCGCCCATCAACGGATCTTACACATGCTCCTGCGCCTCTGGTTATGAAGGACTCGATTGCTCCGAAGACATCAACGAATGTGCACAAGGTAGGAAAAAGATCAGTATGTCCTTCTTTTGCTCATACTGCACGGCAGTATTGATGAAAGCACGCAAGGCATGGCGTCGGCAGGGTTGCAAGTGTGAAATGAAAAATATGAAAGAGTGGAAATTTCACTTGAATTTTTCATGAAATTTCACAAACCTGTGAAATTTCATGAAAAATTGGAACAAATAAATCTGAACTTATAGCCTAGCAGGAACATCACTGGGGCAGTCTTTTTTGTCTAAAATTGAAGGTTCTTGTGAGAAATGTCATGAGAAAAACACTGGTATCATTGAAGGGTGCCATAGTTGGTTCCCTTTTCCCCAGAATCTTGCAACTTCCACGAAATCTAACAATTTTAGAATGACTGGAATGACCTCATCAGGAATCACATAAGGTCCGAAAAAAGCTAAATTTCTCCAATTTTTAAGAAATTTCCTTCTTCCTCTTGTGGAAGTTATCCTCTCTCCTCGGCCCTAGATACCTGTGTGAGTTTTTAATTGATTTGAATAGGCAGCCAATGAAAAAACAGCTATAATTTGTAAGTTTTATAATATTTTTGATACAGTTGTCTGCAATGCGACCTTGAGATGTAAGCAGAGACATTTTCTTTTATATCACTCGTTATTCAATGTCGGGGATGAAAAAACATCATTAAAATCTAATTTTTCAAAAATTTTCATATTTTTCTGAAATTTCATGAAATATTTCACGTGAAATTTCAAGATTTTATTTTTCATGATAAATTGCAACCTTGTCGGACGCTTGAGAACGGGGACTGCGCCTTCGCATGGGGGCGCGCTGTGTCGTGTCATGTCAGTCCCCCCGGAAGCTCCCGAAACGAGGAGAACAAGAAACAGCTACGTCTTCATTTTTTAGGCGGAGAAAATGAGGAGCGTCCTCTCGTTCCCTCCGGGATCCACCCCGCGTTGAGTCGGAGGCGAGGCATGAGTGCCAACCACCAAAATCATTTTATTCATTTTTTTCCCGGGGCCCTCTAGCTGTTCCACCCCGCCAACTACGTTCCGAGAAATGGAGTCCTCGAGTTGAGTGATTTATTCGGCACCGCTCAGTCACCGCTGTTGTGATTTTTCCTCTTTCTTCATCCTCTTTTTTTTATTATTTTGATTTTTTAAATGAGAAGACTGTGCCTCCCGTCAGTTATGCCACTCCAGCCCTGTGAACAATTTGGAGACGATTTATTTTACTGTTTAGCTTGAAAGAATAACGCTGCGTGAGTGGTGCCAGAAAGTGAGGAAATATCCTCGGATGAAATATTTACTTTTGAAGAAAGTTACGAGTGTTTATTCTTAAAAGTTTAATCATAATCGTATTACAGTACGAGAAAATTTTCTAAAAAATGTAAGGAAGAACATACTTAAATTAGTCTTCCTCAAAATTCGGAGAAAAGTTGACACCCGAATGTTCTCGTGGCATTTTTCTGTAGCCCGATGGTACAGAGGACCCCCTGAAAACTCTTCGAAGACCCTCGATTTTGGTTTTGTTAATCTGTCGACAGAAACCCTATTCAAGCAGCATAAACGGGCTAGGCCTGAGGCAAAGCTTACAAGCGAAGAGCAGTATTATTTCTCGGCCGACGATGATCGAGTAGTAATTTGTTGATCATTTTATTGATTTGACGTTGACATATGAATGTTGGGTTAGCCGTTTGCAAAGCAAGTTTGTCAAACTAGTCTTACTTGTGGGAAAAATTTATCAACTCTTCGGTCATCAATCTTTTCTGAATTTGAGAATTTCCTTCCCGTTTCTATCGCGTCTTGTGAAGCGGATCTATCCTCTGGTTTAAATAGCAAGTTCTGAGGGACATCTTAAAGTTTGAAGTTTCACCCGCAGTCCTAGAATATTCCCCCAGAATCGAAAATGGCATGCGGATCATGGGACCGTACCATAAAAATTCATCGATAGCGTTGAAAGTTTTGCTTTGATAAGAGGCTTAACCTGAGTTGTTTAGAACCGGTCCATAAGGGAGGTTAGTGGTGGGGAGCCTTTATTCACGCTTGTGACTATCCACCGTCGATTTCGGCGGCGGAATTTCCGAAGTCAATTTTTCCAGGCATCGGGGGGTGGCAGGGTTTCCACAGTCAGGGAATACCGGGAAAAGTCAGGGAATATGACGAAAATTTCAGGGAAAAATTGTCAAGTCACCTTTATTTGCTCTTTAGACTAGGTTTGACGTATCAAACAACAGATTTTGAGTGAAAACTATTTGAAATTATGTCTTTTTAACCACCTAGCACACGGAGAAAAAAAACCTCGTGCGTGGGACCCGAAATTAGGTCATATGGATCTCAGCAGTTTTCAGATTGAGCATCTGAACACTTTAGATCTAGCTGTCGAGGTTCGGATCACACATCTGAAACTTCAGTTCTTACATCTGAAATACTTCAGATGTGAGAACCAAAGTATTTCGGATGTGAGAACCGAAGTTTTACGGGTGTGAAAATCGAAGCACTTCAGATGTGAGAACTGAAGTTTCAGATGTGTGATCCGAACCTCGGCAGCTAGATCTAAAGTGTTCAGATGCTCAATCCGAAAACTTCAAAGATCCATATGACCTTAACTTCGGGTCCCACGCATGAAGTTTTTTTCTCCGTGCATATCCTCACTTTTCAGGGAATTTTCCAAAATGTGTCAGGGAAATCAGGGAATTTCAATTTTTTTATTCTGTGGTAACCCTGGGGCGGGGAGCCGCCCCCTGTGGCAACCCTGGCGGAGATGCGCGCATGTGTGCGCAAGTGCACACGGAGAAAACTGGATCACTTCTGTCTCGAAGAAAGGGAGACGGTGCGGTTTCCTGTTCTCACGCTCTTCCCTCTCACCCCTGCCCCCCGCCCCCGCCGCCCGCCCCACCGGTTCAGCGGTGACGGCTTCCTTCCCCGGTCGCCGGATCGTCCCGTCGAATTTGCACGCTTCGCCGGGAAAATTGCAAATTTTACCGCCATCCGGCAACTCGGCTTCCTCCCCGCTCCCGATGGCGCAGCGACCCCCTCTTCCACGCTTCCCGCTCTC